ATATATATATGCACACACAGTTTGACTTCCAGTAAAGATTCATTTTATCATTATTAGTTGTTAGTGAAATTATAATGGATAAAGTATACAATTGCTAGTCCATTTTAGAACAACTCTTGGACATTTAAATCTCTTTAAGTATCTTACTGTGTTCTTTGATAACAATTCAGAGTTGTCCAGTCCTAAATAATTTCAAATGCGTAATATTTTAGAAATATATTTTAGGTGCCTGTGGTCCTAAATTTAAGCCACCACACACACACACACGCACACAAACACACACAGACATAAAGACAGAGAGGAGAGAGAAAAAAGAGATTTAAAATGTACTTTTAAAAAACAAACTACAGGTGCTGGGGATTTAGCTTGGTGGTTCTGCTGCCTGCTTTGCAAGCATAAGGTCCTGAGTTTGATCCCCAGTACCCCCACAAAAGATACAGTATATATAAAAGTATGGCCTAAACAACTTTTTTAGGATTTACTTTGAGACCCTTTATTATTAGCCTATGGCTTTAATAGCTAGAATAGGTGAAGAACATGACACCAATCTGGAAAGTATTGTAAGTTTTATAGTAGACATTTCCTTTCATAAATAAAAACTTGTACAATGTTCATGTCATTTTTTTCTTTTTTCACTAAGTATTAAAGATTTATAATTAAAGATTTATAAGTTTGCTGATACTAGGCTAGAAAATAAGAGTCAATACAAACAGAACTAGTCTATATAACTAGTAAAGTTTAGGCAAGCAATAGCCTTTGATGCCTGTGTCACCAGTTATTTTTATATATCTTAATTTAAAGCATCAAAGTAGAAATATAACTCAAGTAGTTTATTGGTAGTTATTATCCACATCACTATAAATATAAACATTCTAAGTGAGCATCGCTAGTGCAAGTACATTCAACATGAAAGCTCCACAGGAAGCTACTTTATTTTGTGTGTAACAAGAACCAAGTTTCCAAAATTTTAGTTGTGCCACAGGAAAACCAAAAAATAAAAAACAAAATAAAAATCAAAAACCCAAAACCTAAATAAACCCTGCTAGCAAAGTGCGTTTCTTTTAGTGACTTCAGAATACACAGCTGTTTGCTTTACAAATTGGAAATACACTGATTTGCCAATATATTATTAGAACGAAGTCTTTTCCTGAATAAAGATCTTCCCTCCTTACACAGTTTTAAATTTATTACAATAGAAACAGCCCCAGTAAATTTTCATAAAACAGCTTTGCTGCTTTCCCTTTCATTTTCTATAATCATACTTCTTATCTGCAGTACTGTACTACTTCTTCCTATAATCAAGACTGCACAGGCCTAGTAACACTGTTGAGATGGTAAACAAAAAACATTAAAGCTTAGAACACATACAGCTATCTTACATTTTCATTCCACAGCATATCGGGTGTTGTTCTATAAAGTTTTTGCTTCTCCCAAAACACTACAAAAATATATGAAAAAACACATCTGTTTTCAGTCAGCAAATATTACCAAATATCTTTTAACTAGAGACCATGTAATTATTGTAATTATATCCTCTTCACTGAATTCAACAATTGCTCTCTTCATAAATCCATATATGTATCCAAGCATATGTATTTAGAATTAATCTACATGCCTGTATTTGCTATATGAGTCAAATAGATTTTAAATTCTTCATGTGAAAGTGCTTCTGACAACAAACTATTTCTGTACTAGCCTCAAATCCCAAAAACACTTTTAAAACTGTATAGGAAGATGCATATCTATTTCTGAAAAGTAAACTACACACAAAAGCATGCTTCATCAAAACTAGTCCATGCACTTAAATGTACCTCAAACACTTTATTTTTATTAAAGTTAGACCAACTTAAAAAATATTCTGTAAAATTAAGAGATAATATTATTTAATTCCAGAAAATGTTAAAAACCATCCGGCCAAAACTTTTTAAAGTACACACTCCCTCTTGTTCTAGCAAATCAATATAAAGCAATGTAACAGTATGTGTATGCATGTGTGTGTGTGATGCACATTAATCTACCATAACATTTCCATTCAGCATTTTACCTTAACATACAAAGCCTTGTAAGCAATTTCTTTGCAAAGGCTTCCCCCTAAAAGATACAAGTACAAAACACTAACAGACACTCTTCAAAGTTTTATTTCATTAACTTTAGATCAAATTTCCACAACTGTTTTCTGGTCAATTTACTATCGTTGCTTGCCTTCCCAAAATGGCAGTACCAGAAGACTTGTGGGGTAGGGAGAAAAGACCACTTTAAGAATCACTGCATTTGCTCATCTTCCACAAGGAAACAGAGGTGGGCATCTGACTGTTCAATAAAACAAAGCTTTAATAGCATCCAGGAGGGCAAACAGGCAAACCAGGCTGTAGATACTCTTCCATTTGTCAAAAATCAGACCAGAGAAAACCTACTCCACACAGATATAAAAGGTATGAATATTCATCTTTTCTTTTTCTGTTGACGCAACATTTTTCTTCTTTTAATTATCATATCATGCAGTTTCTCAAGTCCTTCTTTTAGTCCATCTCCTATGATTGCACAGGTAGGCTGCAAATGCCAAGGAGTTGAGGAGCTCAGTTCACCCATTGCTAACAATTTCTCAATTTCTGTGAGAGACAGTGAGTTCCTCAGATCTTGTTTGTTAGCAATTATAAGTACAGGGACTCCTTGATTTTCAGATATCCTAGTTATTTTATGAAGTTCAGTTTTGGCTTCTTCCATCCTTTCAACGTCAACTGAGTCCACAACAAACACTATGCCATCTGTGCATCTAGTATATGACTTCCACAGTGGCCTTAATTTCTCTTGACCACCTACATCCCAGAAGTGAAAAGTGACTGTTTTAGAATTTCCCAAAGTTACCTTGATTTTCTCAGTGTTAAATCCTTTGGTAGGTACAGTATTTACAAACTCATTGAACTGCAACCTGTATAAGACAGTTGTTTTTCCAGCACAGTCCAAACCCAGAATAACAATGTGGTAGGACTGAAAGGAAGGAAGGCTGGACAGGATAGACGTCTGGTCTGACAGTCCATTCCCCATTTCCAGGGGCAGGTAAGTGTTCCAAACTGAAACACTTTCTTCTTACTGCTTTAGAATTTCTCTTCCTAGGTGATCCAGCTACAAGACTGCTGGGGAAGAAACGAATAAATTATTCTTGTGAAATAATGCATTAAAACAAGTCTCTGTTTTTACTAAAAGAGCAATGCGAAGAGCTTGATAAAACTTGCTTCAGAAAACAAAACACAAGAGATATGAAACGTAGGCAATAGAAGACAAACGATGGAATAATTGCAACCCAAATTCTCTGAATCACTCAAATTGTTATAGTGTTGTACTTCTATACACTGCCCTCGATCCCCAAACCTCAGAAACCTTATTCTGAAGACAACCCAGTCACCAAAATCTGGTCCAAGTCGCCGAGACCACATAAATCTAACCTTCCCACCACACCTCCCCACCCCCACCTTTTTTTTTTTTTTGTAGAAAACTCAAAAGGTAATCTTACCTTTAAAGGATCTCCTCCTACATGTTTAACAGGAGACCCAAGATCACTATCACATGCCCTATCTCACCACCTAAAATAAAACTCACCTCCGAAATTGGAGTCAGTGTCCCAGTGAGAAAGCATTGGCAGGCGTTTCTCGCGGAAGGGAAGCACCCACGACCGCTCAGCTCAGTCTTCCACGCAGCTCTGGCAGTGGCTGCGCCGAAAACCTTGGATTCAGACTCCGGCCACGCCCAGTCCTTCCGGCCCACCCATAACCTCCAATCCCATTGGTCACCCGCACTGGGGCAGCCACGCCACCCCGCCCCCGTGGCCTCATTGGCCAGGGCAACTGCCACTCCCAACGCGTGAAGCAGGACTCTCCGCAGGTTCACAGGCACCACCTGTTGCCCTTGAGTTAGGGAACCCGGCGGCCTCGGCTGGAGCGACGCGCGGCCCC